CCAAACATACTTGTTCTTAAAGGTATAAGGTATTATTTTTTTTTTTTTTTTTTTTTTTTTTTTTTTTTTTTACCTCTCCAGAGTATTTTGGAATTTAAGTGTTGTATTCTTTCAGAAAATGTTCTTTTATTGCTTTACACCAGAGACCTTGAATATTTAATTTACTTTTCAGTAAAGCTGTCAGTTGTAATCTGCAGTTTTAAAAAAGAAAACATAATAAAACAAATCCTCATTTCACAGTTTAAACCTTATTGAGCCTAATTCACTAGCGCTGGAAGTTTATTATTCTCCTGCAGTTTGACGTGCCTCCAATTGTAATTGTGTTGACCCTTCAGTGCATTAAATCTCCCCAGTGCTTTTCAAACTGGGAGAGATAAGTCTGCAATTCAGAACTTCATTAAATATCTCATTTATATTAAACAGATGATAGCTTCTAACAGAAATAATAATTCGTTCAGAGGAAGGAACTGCCACAGTTGTGGTTTCATGTTTGGAATGTGCAGTCTCCTCTCCCATTTGTCTGTGTTAGGCTGTGCTCCCACCCATTTCCCCACAGCAGCCCTCCCATCTCTTGCTAGCTCCAAAGCACCATAAGATATTAGTCCATGTGGTTAACCTCAGAGCCCACATTGTAAGGATTGTAATTAAGTGCACTTTGTTTCCCCTTGAAGCAGATTTGTTTCAGAGTCTTACTAACATAAATTTTTTATTTCTACTGTTTCTATGAAGAATATGACAGCTTTTTAAAGGAATGCCACATAATATTTTAACTCATAGTCAAAGAAATTGACCTGTATTCTTTGCTTATTTAATGGATTGCATATGTTTGTGAAATACTAACACCTTTGCTTGCTTCATTAGAATATTTGGTCCTTATTTCCATATTGTTCTGTACACTATCAAAGTACTTAACTCAGTTACTCACTATCTCATACTTAAAGATTACATTAAGATAATACCATGATTATTCTTAATTTTTGGCAGAAGAATAGATTCAGTGATTTAGATACAGCGTATTATTCAAGACTCCTGAACTGACAAATGGGGTCTTTAGATCTTGTAGAGTAGATAAAAATTCCACCAGCATGCACACAAATGTGCGCTAATTGCTAGATGTATTTACATACTATAGGTATAAAAGTATAAAAACTATAGCGAAATTCCAGCTTCCATTCTGATAAAGCGTGCTTTACACTGAGCAGCATCTAGTGAAGAATTCTGCATTCAACTATAACTTCAATTGACTTCAACAGATACTAACAGTCAAATTGAAAAAATAAGCAACCAAGATACGATTTTTTAAAAAAAATCTTTTAATATACATATTTTTCCTCCAGTGGTTGAAATCTGACAGAACTTCATGGGAGGCATGGTATAAAATGGCACAGAAAGGTGGTCATTAGGCAGAGCTGTCATCACAAATTATTTTGGTACAGGGTGAAAAGTTCTAGTTCATTTGGTACCCAGTTGGATGCAGGCCTTGGGCGAGTTGCTATAATTCCCCCATGCTGCTAATGGGCCTCCAGTACTGATTTTTGCCTTGCCCCCCTTTCTCTATAGCTAAAGTCACCTGGGAGCCTTTTGGTACCCAGTTGGATGCAGGCCTTGGGCGAGTTGCTATAATTCCCCCATGCTGCTAATGCGCCTCCAGTACTGATTTTTGCCTTGCCCCCCTTTCTCTATAGCTAAAGTCACCTGGGAGCCCCCCTGGACCTGAGCTGCCCATTGAAACAGTGTTGGATGATAGAGAGCGAAGAATTTCCCATTCCCTCTACAGTGGGATTGAGGGGCTTGACGAATCGCCCACGAGAAATGCTGCACTCAGTAGGATAATGGGTGAGTCAGGTAAAACCCTGTTTACCACATCTTACTTTTATGCTCTCACAGGTTCACGGAGAGGTTATTAATGTAATATTAATGTAGACGAGGCCCATGGTTTCAGGAGGAAAAAGAACAGGCTCATTATAATCATTCAGGAAGCGTTAATGTGAAGAGAATAAATCAATAAATTGATTTGTTAAGTGACTTTTAGATCCTGTAACATGTGGAAAGAACAAGAAAAGAAAGGAGTCGTATAGAAATGTTTTCCCATGATCGAGATGTTCTTCACTTGTTTGAGATAATAAGTGAAGCTGTGTTTTGAAAAAAATCAAAATTTAGTGGTTTATGGCAGTAAGGATTCAAAAGTTATGTATCATTCACAGTAGCCCCACTTGGAGGGAGAGGAAAAAATGTGTGTATTCATGAAGTATTCACATTTATTTGGTTTGCACCTTATAGGGTGCTAGTATATTTTAATTGTATTTCCACTTTTTCAAAGCCTTAGTTTTAAAACCCTGAAACTAGTCTTCTGCATTCTTTGTTTGAATTCAACACCATACTGTCTGCATGGCCCCCACTGGGTAATGAGGTTATTAGCACTTGCTCTGTAGCAATTCAGATTTCCGTTAACAGATCGAGTTAATAAAGATTTGCTCTGCCACAGGAGTGGCTGGATTTACTGAGTTGCTCATCTTGGGATTAGCTTCTGAGAGTTTTCAAATTTAAAATACAAGAAGCTGTTTTGATTAAAATAATACCTGACATAAAACGCTTTTATTATTGGTATATTTTGTAAGGCTCTAATTTAAGAGAGTTTTCAAATTTAAAATACAAGAAGCTGTTTTGATTAAAATAATACCTGACATAAAACTCTTTTATTATTGGTATATTTTGTAAGGCTCTAATTTAAAAACAAACAAACAAACCCTAAATCTAACTCCATTTTGCACTTAATGCAGATTTAATACAATTCAGCTTTCTATTATGGAGCTTCACTGAAATAAGAATTTTTGTATTTCATCAATGGATGTTTATGGAAAGCCTGCTATTAGCAAGACATTTTGTTTTGCTTTAGATGCAAAGATGAGTAAGAAACAATCTTTGCCTTCAAAGAACTTTCTACTGGGCATGATAAGAAAATACATAGACATGACTAGTAGAATTTTCTGTTGTTCTTCCTCTAAACTATTCTAGTTCAGAAAAATTGCTAAATTCTCAATTTCTTGTTACGTGTAGAATTAAACATGCCAGTTCTCTGGTTATACTTCGGGAACATTTTTCTTTTTACCTGCTTGGCGTAAGTGAACGTCAGGGAAGGATGCTACAACTGTTGGGTTGAACATTTGTTGGGTGACAGGCATCATACATAGTTTATCACATTTAATCTTTGCTTATTGATTATCATTTGCTTCACTGCTGTTGGTTTTTCTGTACTTTCTCGGCTTTGGTATGAAACTTTATCTTTGTTAAATTCATTTTTATTGATAAAATTTCAGACCCCTTGAGAGAGGAAGAGTGTGCGTGTGTCCCTGCATCTGTGTGCATACGAAGTGATATGCTGTAATTTCCCCTTTATTATAGGAACATAGGACTTGCCATACTGAATCAGACCAATGGCCCACCAGTTCCTGTTACCTGCGTCCTGCCTCCAATCCCTGATGCTTCAGAGGAAGGCGAAAAACTAAAACTAAAAAACAAACCAAAAAACCCCTAAATTCACCTAGTGACCTTTTGAAATGCTGTGTATGTGGGTTGAGGAATCCCTCGTTTTCTTCATAAGCTATTGCCCTGGTTTTGTGCGCTGTGGTTTCATTAGTCCTCTTCAGTTTGCATTATAGTTGACAGTGTTTCCCCTTCCCTCCACTAGATATGTAATGAACTCTTGAAACTTCAGGTGCTTCCCCAGTTACAGCAGTAACTTCCCTCCCAGCTGTGTGCTTTGCGATGGGCTGTGTATACCCTTTTACCACTTTGGTCTGGGGGGTGACAGACTCATTACTGTTGATAGTAGGCCAAATCGATGTTGGTATGATTTGGATATTTTCTTATGGTAATTTTTTACATATTGTACTAGAAACTAGGGATCTTATACAGTGTTACACTGAGAAATATATATGCTTAATTTGATTTATCTTGCTTTTTTTCAAATTTGAGAATTCCTCCATCTTTGTCAGTTTTTATTCTGGTATCATTGGCCCTAAAACATCAAATGCTGTTTGTGAAATTAGTTACGACTTAAAGTTAGAAATCCTGTAAAAGATGTTACCTTGCCACAGAATACCAAAACAGAGTACCAAATATAAGATATTAGAGTGTTGAATTTCCATTAGCCTAAACCAATAGCAGTTGTATTTGGTTTGCATAGTATCTAGGTATGTGGAAATGTCTCAGACAAATCCTGTTTGGTTGATGGTTGTCTTTTGTACATTTTGAATCACTCTTATAGACATTATTGGAGGTGGTGGTATTTACTTCATGATCTGCTATGATACATAGAAGACTTTGTATTGAAATTTCAGCTGATTACATTAACCTTATTAATTTTATGCATACAGGGCCAATTTTTGCATAGAACATTCCCCATGTACAACTCTAGACCAAAGGGAACCTTGAGGCTTTCTGACTCTTTTCTATGGGAGCATACCCCAGGAGAGAGGCTTCTAAAAAATATACCAAAAAAGGAGGAGACTTTAGAGTTGGAAGATGTCAAATGTCATCAGTCACACTTTCCCACTTAACGGATAAAGGAACTAAGTCCCAAGATCACGTGATATTCTTTTTTTCCTATTTTGTTTTTAGATATTTTCTATTTCTAAAAATAGTCCTCTCTGGGGAATCATCAGTCACACTTTCCCACTTAACGGATAAAGGAACTAAGTCCCAAGATCACGTGATATTTTTTTTTTCCTATTTTGTTTTTAGATATTTTCTATTTCTAAAAATAGTCCTCTCTGGGGAATGCTGAGATCACACAGTATGTGTTAGGGACATTTGTGACATTCATTCTTTATTAACATCAGTGTATAAATACCTACATCTTTAAGCAAAGGCATTAGGCAGTCTCCAGAACCTATTCCATCCTGGCAACTACTGTGATCTAAAAATCAGAAAAGTTAATCTTTGAAAACAGCCTTAGAAATCACATATTCCAGCCTACTTATCTTCTACTCAGGGGAGTTATGGACCAAAGAAATTAAGTGACTTGACTGAAGCCACACAGTTTTCTGTGTTTCTGAACCAAAATTCAGGTGTATATTTTTCTGAGTCATGAGTCACACATTACTCAAACCCAATCAATCTCCTTAACTTTTGGTGGGATCAATGACAATTGTGACTTCTCCAAATGTCATCTGTTTTAACTGAATTTCCACTATCATGGATTTTAAAAGAGTAGTACTGGGCATTCGTCAGAAAGTAATCTGTAGTGAGCTTACATGGGATTTCTTCCTTTTAAAAGCCTTACAAATATTTTCCAATTGTTCAGCTGTCTTAGTTATTAATAATAAGAACAACAATAAAAATATGTAAAGCTAATTTAACCAACATATTCACTTCATAACATACATCACGAGTTGACATTTGGGAACATGGAAGCTTAAATTGTTTCCATTCTTTTATTTGAAAAATTTTTGTTTAAATCAAGCAAATCTGTTGTATCCATTTTAAAATTTTTCTCAGTAGTTCTGTGTTCATACATTTGTGGTGGGTTTAAAAAATCATTATGTTCAGAATGTTTTCATTTGATGTAGAAAATGGAACGTTAATGTTGTTTTATTGTTAGTCATATCACTGGCACAGTTCCCTCATTTCATTTGTTTCTAGTATCATGCTGGTGTTACATTCTATGTAAATTTACCAATGAATAAATTTTGAGTAAACAATCATTTCGAATCTCCTTGTTTCACTCCTCTACAAGAAACTGACTAGTTTACTTAGTAGTTTGCAGGAATCCATAAACTAGTTGAGGCAAGAGGAAAGTTTCTTCATCAAAAAACAGATGGAAGCCTTCTCAGGTCACGCTTAGAAGGTTTCACATTCAGGATGTACCAGGTACTAGCAAACAAAATTAAGAGATTGTGGTATCATCTAGGTGGGGCTTGGTGGAATATGTTGTTAGGTTGTTTAGTCATTTATTACCCCAGTATATTCCTGAAGCCAGATCCCAAAACTATATTCCTGGCAAACATGCTAAGAAGCAGAAAATTGATGGAAAATATGCATTCTCCAATCTTGTGAAATACTCTCCTCCAGAACCATGGGTGAGCGAACATGCTAAATTGTCGTCTTCCTTTTAGGGAGATTTCTTGCCATTTATTTATATGTAAAATTTTGTACTTAAGGTACAATATTTTTGCTCAGAACAATATAATACGTAAAAAGGATTACCATATGAATCATTTAATGTTCCATATTGCTTATTAGGCTGTCTCTCAGAATATACTGTGTAAACCCAAGTTTTAGCTTTTGTGTTTAAAAATGTATGCACCATGATTGCACTGTAATACTTCCTTCCAATAAATTGTGGCTGGGTGAGGACTTAATATTTGATGTTGTGATATATGCCTTGTCAGGGGTGAGTCAGGGGTAACCCTGTTTTTATAATTTTATACACTTTTTTTGGGGGGGAAGAGCATGTCTTGAGATGGAAACTTTCTCTGACTAATAGTGGTAGAATGTCCTACCTATTTATGAATGATATTTTTGTTGAACAGGTTTCTGTACATTTGCAATATTAAGCCTAAAACTCGAATAGAAATAAATGAGTGATTTGAGTTCACAGAAGGGAAATGATTAAGTATTACATTTGATTTGCATTTTTATCTTGAACATTCATAGAAAGCTGTTAGTTTCTGTTAGTTTGTCAAAATAGGTGCATTTGAAATCAAATGGAAAGTTTTTCTTAATAAGGTCCTGAGAAGAAGTTTCAGTGAGCATGTAGTATTTCTACAATAGAGTGGCTGATGCTAAATAATGAATGCATTTCAAATTTCCAGCAAGTTTTCTTTTGTAGGTTGTCTTGAAGAGATATGTAGCACCTTAAATAATTTTTACTCCTTTGCTAAAATATCTAGAGAAATACATACTTTTAAAAATCTTTCAGGCCTGTCTTTGCTATCCCCAACATTCTTATGAATGTTTACTTTTGAAATTCTGCCTAAAACTAATGTTACAATGTTAATAAACTGCCTATACATTGCTGCTTTGCTATTTTAAAAAATAATGTATAACAAAGCAAATGTGCACCTGTGTAAAATGGTCGTAGTGTCTTGGGAAAGCAGAACAAGACTTTTGTTTGGGTAGGAACCTGTGCAGTTGGAAATTGGACTTACGGTGAGAGTTTTTTTATCGTCCTGTAAGGTGGACAGGGAATGTCAGGTGTCTTTGCTCTGTGCGGATGCCAGACAGTCGGCCCACAGCATACAGAGTGCGTGTTTTTGTGTTTTTGCGAGTGTGGTCTCTCACAAGGTTTCTTCTTGGACCAAAGTTTTGTCTATAAATTTTTGCTCAAGAAAAGCATGGCACAAGATTTTGGGAGGAAGCTAGAAGAACTGGGGGTGATTTTTGGAAAAAAGTTGACATCATTTGGATGGCAGCTTAATCTTTAAGAATTCTGGGCCTTGAAACATAATTTTGACCCAAGAAAGATTGTGAAATATAAATGTCTATCATACTGATCCATGAAACTGAGCAAATTTTCCTGCTGGAAACTAATCAGTAAAAAAGTTGACATCATTTGGATGGCAGCTTAATCTTTAAGAATTCTGGGCCTTGAAACATAGTTTTGACCCAAGAAAGATTGTGAAATATAAATGTCTATCATACTGATCCATGAAACTGAGCAAATTTTCCTGCTGGAAACTAATCAGTAGCAACAGTGTAGGCTGTGTATGCAGTCTTTCTTACCAAGAACGCTATATCCTAACTAAATAAATCAAAATTTACAGGCTCCCTGCTTATGGCCTGAAAACCGCTGGGTGGTCAGATTCTAATTTTTTCTCTTCCAGATCGCTCCTGGCATATCCCCTCCCCCAGGCATCCTTGTCTTTGAAGTGTCACCTGAATGCACTGTGGGCTTTTCTCTATCATGCATTTAGCGATGTTGTCACTGAAGTCTAAGATAAATGTCATTATTTCTTCTAGCAGAAAAGATCATATTCATCATTCAAAACCCAACCTTGATGTTAACTTTGTTAAGATTCCCAGTACTCCCTACTCCCAGCCGTGTAGGCAATTACTCACGCAGGTGAATGCCACAGTGCTTTTTGCACATGGCTTCTATCACCATACAATTATCACTGTTTGTTTGTATTTCCTTTTATCAGGTTGTGAGCTCTTTAAGGACAGAGGTTATGTCTTAGTTACAGTACCTGGTATGTGGTAGTTGCCTATGAACGAGTGGATGAATGATTGATGTAAGTCTGTAGGGCTTCCCTCTAAATTTTCTGGTGAAATTTTTCAAAGGACTTTCACAATTTCAAATCTGTGTAGCATTTTCACATTAGAACACATTTAGGAGATCACCTCTGGCTTTAGGAAACTTAAAATCAGAGAAATTGCATACTGTGCCCTGAGGTACATAGCTGTAGCGTCAGAGCTAGTAATAGACATGAGGTCTCTAATCGTTTATGAAAATTAAATGTGGTAAATTCTATTTTGTTATACCAGGTTGAGCAGATATATGGAAGTTTAGATTTTCTAATACAGAAAAGTATTAAAAATTAGTAGATGTGACACTTAGATTGATGTCTAGAATTTCTCTTTTTTCTTTTTTCACTGGACAGGTAAATTCCAGCTGTCCCCCACCGTGAATATGCCCCAAGATGACACTGTCATTATAGAAGATGACAGGTTGCCAGTTCTTCCTCCACATCTCTCTGACCAGTCATCCTCCAGCTCCCATGATGATGTGGGATTTGTGACCACAGGTGCTGGTGCGTGGGCTAAGGCTGCAATCAGTGATTCAGCCGACTGGTAAGCTCATAGTCCAGGGTTGGAAAACATTGGTTAATTGCAATCACATTCTATTTTATGTTTAAATGGCTTATCCTGAGTACGGTTAGTTAATTTTTATAGCAGTGTTCTATTTTCATGATTTTTATATTCTTAATTATCAACTCTTTTAATAAAAGATTACACATTGCAATCACATTCTATTTTATGTTTAAATGGCTTATCCTGAGTACGGTTAGTTAATTTTTTATAGCAGTGTTCTATTTTCATGATTTTTATATTCTTAATTATCAACTCTTTTAATAAAAGATTACAGCTTAACCCTTGTAAACTTGCTCAATTGTTTTAGCCTTTCAAGTGCCATAGTTAGTAATTTTAGCCAAAACAACAAAATTACCACTTATCAAAAAACCCTACTTATTTGTTTTTAAGTTTAACTATTTATTATTTATTTTACATCTATGAATCGTTTTTCTGTTAAATTAATAAATTTTAAGTAGATTTCTAAGTTGCTTGTAACAATTAGATGTCTTTGGCAAAACTAATAGTTGATGTGTTCTGGGAGCAGGAGGAGGCTTTTTGAAGGTTTTCTTTGTAGAGTGCTATAACTATACTGTTGAAGGTGCTGTGTACTTGCTTCTAACATAGTGACTTTTGGGGCAGTCTCGTGCTATTTTTTCTCCTGAGTCTTTGAAAATAGGAGAAAGCATCTGATATTATTGAGCCAATGTGTGGCTCATGTACGTGAATGTGCACCTTAATCTACATGCCTAGTAATTATATACATCAATAAGCAAAAGGAAAATCCCTCTTAGGGTTGACCTCGTAAGGTTGTAGTGATAATTAACACAAACCATCTGAAGTATTATACCAGAATTTCCTTATTACCCTTTCTCTGGGGTCTTTTATGAATACATCAGCAAAATTATATTTAAATGTTATGGCACTGTTCCTCTACAACTTATTCATTTCTACTTCCTGCTCTTTCCCTGACTTGTGTCAACATTAAATTTGAGTTAGGAGGTGTCTGGGGTACTGGCGTTTATTTGTGTTAACATTTTAGTGATGATCTTAAGAAAGTAAACCACCCCCCGGTGCTCTTCTCCCGTGACAGTTCATTTATCTGTTAATTCTGCAGATGTTCTCGTGGAATAATCTCACCTGTTATTTGGGCCCTTGAAAAGTTCATCTCTAGCTTTTCTTTTTTAATTCTCTTTTTGAAAACACAGGGTTTAAAAATAGAGCTACACTCAGGCTTGCATGATAATAGCTTATCTTTGAATGAGTATTTTGGTTAAAAGTAGAGGGGGAGACTATCATGTAAAGTAAAAACCCACTTCAAATCTGCAGATGCAGTTACGTTGACTGCTGCAGTTTATATCTCTTTCTGAATGTGAAAGCAGCGACAGAGAAAGTAAGGATTAGATATATGCAATATTCATCTTAGGGACAAAAGCCTTTGAATCTCCACAGTGATGAGAAATTGTGGAGGTGGTCACAGGAATAGATCTGTCTGGGGCCTTATAAAGCACACTGTATTATTGGTGGAAATAAATAAATAACTAGCAGGGATAGATTGTGGCATTAATTTCCCTAAGGAGGATTTGCAAAATGGTGAGGACTTGTATGATTTTGCTGAGGGGAATGTGGGGCAAAGAGAAGAATATGAATGAAGGGTTATCCAAACAAGAATGGCAGCTGTTCTGAATCACAGCAGAAAATGTAAGCTTTTCCAGCCTGACAATATCTCCCTAATCCTTGATGAAAATGTTATGAAAACAAAAGGGCAATAAGACAGGATTAATAACTGGAATTTTAATAACATTAGGGGTCAGGATATGGTTACATTCTTTAAAGAATCAGCTGTCAGTCCTGCATTCTGACTTGTTAAATATTCTAGTGTACTGTTTATTGTATCTGAAATTAGTTTAATGGGTATATTGATAGGGAAGAATTAATTATGTAATGGTTTAGGAATATTTAGTTATTTTAAGACTTTTATTAACTCACAAACTTATTTGACAGTTTAAAGTGTGTGTGTTTATAGTTCACTGCACAACTGCGGAAGGTTAAATATGTCCAATAGCTAACCTACTTATTTGTTAACTAATAGAATACATTTTTTCAATCCGTTAATTGATTTAGGGAATATTAACAATGTGTTTAAAGGGGAGAAAGGTATTATGGCAAATTCTAATCTTAATGGCATGATAATTTCACAGGATATAAAGCTAGTTTAAAAAATATGCTGAGATGTGGTTTTCAGGCAACACTGGCAGCAACAATTTGTATTTCTTTGAAAAATCTTTTGCCAATGGTTTCTATTAAAACTGTATTTCAGATTCACTCTGTCCACAAGTTTGATGCCTATTGGAGTTTAGGTTTTAAAGTATTCCACATGATACAAAAAATGTTGGAAACATGCAGAACGATTGAAGAGATCACTCTCAAAATAGAATTACTCTGATTGGAAATATATTATTTAGAGTTTGCTGCTGCAAAATGGGGCCATAGTTTTCATCATATGTGTTTTAATTTTTCACTTCCAGAAAAGTGTTTCTTGACTGGGGCATATATGCTCTGAAAATTATATGCCAGATGTGATGGGTCTTCAAAAAGTTTATGGAAAGATTTGTTTTATGTTTTTTTTTTTTCTTCCACGAACTTTTTGAAGTGTCCTTATTCACCAAAGAATAGTAGTATGTGAAGGGGCACCTGAGGCTTCAAGAAAAACATGACCCTGCTTTTTGCAGCATCAAATTTATTCAATGTTTTAGGGAAAAAATATGGTATATTAAAAATGAAAAGATTTAGAATAGAGTGCAAGCGCAATAACATTAATATTAATATAAATGACTTTTCTTTATATCTTTGTAAAACACTGTGTTCTTTCTTTGGGTTAAACTCCCTGCCCCTGTAAGATATAGCTTCCTTTTCTGTGTGGCTGGTCCAGCAAGACAAGCGAGGCGTGTTCAAGAGACAAAAGTTACGAAGGCCTCACTGTCAGGTGTTGACACTGCACTTGCATGACCTTGAGAGTGAATGCTCCCTTACATTCTGAGCCCTAGGCACCCCCCTTGCCTCACCCTAGGGCTCCTGCTGTACACTTGGTAGAAAAGATCGAGAAGGATTGCCCAATTTCTTTAAGTGCTTTTTAAGGACCGTAGATTTCTATCACGATAATTTGTTAATCTGAGATAGTCTCCATTGGGTAATAATAACTGACTTTGTTTAGTGGTTTGCACTTTACAAAGGTCTTTCATCTTATGTCCTTGAATTCTGTCACTAGCCTTGTAAGATGGGTGAGCTTCCTGTTCCCTTTATTGAGCATATTAAAACATATGGGCTTAAAACATTTCAGGTCACTTAACCCAGTGGCAGAGCTTTTTTCCTTGGTATCCTGCTTTTCACAACTTTTGGCTTAGCCCTTTTTAAATAGCCAACTATCATTTCATGCTCAGTAGATTGCAGCTAAATTTCTGATGTCCATCCAAACCAGATCACTATCCTTTTACCAATATGAGTGGTAATTCTCCTAAGACCGCAAAGGGTTAGAGAAGCTTGCTTCCACCAGAAACAGGAGGAAGGCTGTCATAAATTCAGCTGACATAGTAGAAGTAGTCCCATTGCATTCTCAGTAGGTTGAGTTAGCTGCAGAGGGGGATTCTCTCACCTGGCCAGAGAGGTAAGGTGGCTCAACACTGATAAAAGAGTTAGTATATTTACTTACTCAGTGTGCCCAGAGCTGTTTTCATAGTATGAACTGTGCTCAGAACACCTGATAGCGCTTTCTAAAGTGTTCACAGATTTTTACAAATGGAAGTGATTCTGTGTCATCTCCAGTCACTTCCATTGGAAAAACACTTCAGAATATATATCCTGTTAGCAATGACTTGCCATATGCTTTTTTTTTTTTTAATATCATCTCTGCTTGAGCCACTGGGTTGGTGTCATCCAAATCAGATGTCATCTAGACTTAGTCATGTGTTTCCTGACACCCTCCTGTACTGTTTATTCTCTCATCTGCACCCACAGCATCTGTTTCATACTTCTGGCTTAGTATTTTTCTTGTGAACTCATAGAGAACAGGGGTCTTTTCTTATTTAATATTTTCACCTTGGTCCCCAGCACAACATTTTAATCAGAATAGGTTGTAATAATAAAGGTTTGTGGAATTGACTTTTTTTCAATTAATTATATATTTCAGAGAAACTATATCCTTGTGAAACTACATGCCATAAATGAGTTTTTTTTTCTTTTCTTTTCTAAAAGACAAGATAAAGGATATATGAGGGCCAGAACACATCCTTTTTGAAACTTCTCTTCAATTATAATTTATATGGTCACTTGTTTCTCCTAATATTTCTATAGAATATATGACAGGTTTCCTCAAATGTCCAATCCTTCCAATGTCTGAAAAATATCAGGCTCATTTTTTATAATCACTTAGAAATAATGATATATTGTCAAATAGAGAAAAGAAACAGAGGGAAATAAAGGAGGAGAAAATTCACATGGAGAAAGAGTTACTCTAAATGTTAAAATAATTTTGTATTTTTCCATCACCTTCTATACAGCCACAGTTTTTTTTTAATGAACTATGTTTGTGTTATGTAGTTTAATTTTTTTTTTTTTTCCTTTTTTTTGGTCTTTTTTCGTGCCCGGCAACGGATCGCAACCCTCAGTGTCACGCCCGTACCGGACCAGGACCGGCCACGGGATCACAACCCTCGGTGTTGCTCCCGCCCCCCGCTCAGCCAGTGAGCGGCCGGTCTGTATGTGGGATCCGAACCCTCGGCGGGAGCGCCACCGCACTTCCCAAGCGGCGCACTATAGCAGTGCGCCACCGGGCCGGCCCCATAATTTTTTTTTTGAAGAATATACATATACACATATTCAGATACACAGGTATATGTGAACTTTCCTAAATTGAATGTCTTCTGTTTTTAGTAAATATTTTTATGTTTGTCTTTTTCTTCTCACCAGCTCTTTGAGTCCAGATGTTGATCCAGTTCTTGCTTTTCAACGAGAAGGATTTGGACGCCAGAGTATGTCAGAAAAACGCACAAAGCAATTTTCAGATGCCAGTCAATTGGATTTCGTTAAAACGCGAAAATCAAAAAGCATGGATTTAGGTAGTGAGTACAATCTCCATGAATCTTTATCTAAATAAGGTTTAGATGCTTTCAGGATAAAATTGATGGCCCCAAACACATGTCTGTTTACTTTAAGCAATAGAAAAAAATAAATGTGAAATGTGGCAATTTGGCAAAAATTAGTCTTTCTCTGAGTTTGAGATAAGCGTATTACTTATAACTGACATGTTTACATAATATGCAATATGTTAATATATATGTTTTCTTATGAGAAAAGAAACAAACACATGTGCATATCATGCTATATTCATGTATCTTTATTTTAAGAACTAAAGTGTTTTAACACTTTGGCTATTTAAAGCCAATTTCATTGAAATTGTATTTGGTTGGTTGTGGGATTTTTGAACTAAAAGAAAAAATTTTGGAGAGAAACCATTATCTCAATCCATGTCTGGAATTTGGTTAATTCATAATATCTTCCTTTCATTACTATTCTTGAAGGTTTATTTAATAGAAACTCTTGTGTTTTGATAATTAAGGCATTTAATTGGAGTAATAATTTGAGAGACTATTTATTATAGAAAGTATTTGGGAACAAATGAGAGGAGGGAAATGACCATAGTTGTTCAATCAAACACCAATCAGGTAGTGTCTCTCTTTAAATCCAAATCCACCACCCCCCAAAAAAGAAAAAGGCAAAATAATTATACCTATAGACTGATTTTAAAAACCTTTGTTAATCAACTGTAACTTGTGCTGTTCTTTGGTGGCTGTTTGTACTTCAAGACTAAAAGCATTAATTTATCATATGCGAAAAAGAAAAATTTATCAGTGCATTGCCTTGGCTAATTACATGCTAACATATAAATAACACACATCTGTGAAATGAAATGACTGGCATTTTGCATGGAGACACTGCTTTCCCGCCCCCTTTTTTTTGATTACGAATGTTTGCTTGATGTTTCATATTATTTGCATGAAATATTACCAAGAATTGTCACCTAACTAAAAAGATCTGGGAATGGTTGAAGCATGTTGGGCTGTGGGAACTAACTGGGCTAACCATTATACATTTACCTTTTAACAGTAGCTGACGAGACTAAACTCAATACAGTGGATGACCAGAAAGCAGGTAAGAATGGACAGTTAGACTGTTGTCATAGAAACCGTGGTCCAAGGAGCTTATCACAATTATAGAGCTGCCAATCATAGTGCATGTAAACATAAATATTCCAGTTTTGTACAGATGTTTTCATTGTGGGAAATCAAATTGTATAAGAAAAGAAAAATTTTCTGTTAGAAGAAATTTATCAGTGCTATACATACTAAATAGAAATGTAATTTAATGCTTCATGCTAAAAAAAACCTAGATTTTCTTAATTATATTCATGGAGGACTGTTTTGTCATAACTAAAAAAAAATAGAAATCTTGAAAACATAATCTTTTACAGCAGACTCTTAAATTTTTCAGTCATCTATGTGATGTCTAGGTTAACATCCAAAAGGTGATTCTTAAAGTGCTGATTTTGATTTGAAAGAAAAGAAATAGTGCCAGTATAAATATTTTTCACTGAAATGACAATGTCTAGTGTTGCTAACATTAGTCACTCAGAAACCCTTAATTTTTTGTTGGATGCTGGAATAGCTTATGGTTAAACTGGCGTTGGATTAGACTATATTAGCCATATGCATTAAGCATATGGCTTCATGTCTTGTTTGTTACTTGGTGACTTTGTGAACTTGCTCTAAATTCATTGCTTCTAAAATACTGCTAAATGATTCCATAGAAACAGTGGATTATATTGAACTGGGTTTTGCATTATAGTAGATTTTACTTTTTATATTATTGTATGAAGATAGAGGAAAGTCTTTAAGTCTAGTTAAAGTAATGTACTTTGTACAATTGAGCACTTATGATTTATTATTATAAGTTTGGAATAGTGTTTTAATTATTCTACTTCCAGGATGATGTAGTTATACCACTTAGCACTAATTAGCTTCAATTCACCTTTTTAACCTGCAGCAATAATTAGTTTTAGCCTGCTTGAAAAATATGTATCCCACATACATATGTAAAGATTATCGTGGGCATGTTTGTAGTTATCATATTCTGTAGAGTAAAAGATAGATTGTAAAAATTACATCCAATAAATCATAAGATTAACTATATTGCAAGGCAATGAACTATAGCCTCAGCCTTTACTAGTTATTTTTCTTATCAAACATAAAATTCATTGAAATTCTGAAGCAAGGCTAAGGAAAAACATTTATTTGATAGTTCACATATATAAAATAGTAATTAATTTTTAGAGCAATTAGTATTTAGTACTTTTAAAGAAGGTAAACCCTCTCTAAGTTAATGTTCGTAAAACACAAATTGAACTGCTCAGGTTAGAGGACATGACTTTATGTACTATGCCAATTAGGTAAAATAAGGAAAATGTTTGATTTAACCAACTTACAGCTACTACAAGGAAAAGAATAATAATTTATTGTGATTTAAAAAAATATTAATGATATCCAGTTTTTAACTGAAAGCATTATAAAACTTTCATGGTTAGAAGGCAAATTTGATAATCTAGTTAAATCATATGTTTTTATGTTTTAAAATGTTAGATCATTAGATAAAAAGGACTTCAGGGCTTCTCCCCCCCCCCCCCCCCCCCCCCCCCCCCCCCCCCCCCCCCCC